TTTTAAAAATAACATATAGTTAAATAGCTTGACCTTATAGACATGTGTTCATTTACCAAGGTCTATGTAAAACTGTGAGGTTTTATTATATTGCAACCACTTTTCTCTAGATGCTAACATCTGATAGATCCTTTTATTCAGATATACTGTTTTTTAATTTTTAGCAAATTAGTAAAAACAGTAGCTTAGCCTCAAGTGCAGTATCTTCATTATATTATTTCACAGAAAATGTGGGCATGTGTACCTCTTGAAGCATATTGACCTTATTATCAGTAACTGCTGAAGTTCCATATTCCTAGAATACATCACAAATTGGGTACATACTTCATAAGAAACACAGAATCTAAAGGATGGTTTCAGTCGACTATTAGAATGAGGAAGAGGAGAAATTGGATAGAGATTGGAGACATTCAATTCGATTTCTATAATTCATTGATCAGAGTCACTTTTTTAAAACAAATTGGATTTACTTGAAGCCCACCAAATGTGGGTAAACTCAGAAAAAGAGAATCCACTTGTATTTAATGAGTGAAAACAATGAGTGATGAGAGAAAAAGTAGCAAAATGGGTGAGGGGGAGAGAAGATATTTTTCCTTTAAGAGCTCTATTACAAAATATTTATTAAAGATTAAAAGTTACTAATCTCATTATATACTTCTGGTCAGAGTTTGAGCAGTTTCCCTGGTAAGAAATATAAAAATATGTAACAAGAATATTTAATAAAATTGTTTCCTTTCATCCAGTATTTTCCTTTTAGGAATCTGTCTTGTAGAAGGAATTATAAAGTCAAAGAGAATCATCATATCATTATTTGTGATAAGGAAAACTGAAAAAATACTAATTTGCAACAATATACAATGGCATCTCAGCTCAAGAGCTTAATTTTTTCTATGATTTTAGAAAACATAGTCACATTTGTGTTTGTGTGGGAAAGATGGCCATGGTCGTGTTTGTCACCCAATGCAGAGTTTGCAGATACAAACAAATTTTTGCAAAATGCTTCTGAGCATACACCAACTTTTTGGAAACAAAACTGTTCATGAATTGAGGTACCACCGTATATGAAATTATACAATGTTCACATAAATATCATGTAACCATAAAGAAGATGTTTTCTGAGGCCATTTGATAAGGGCTAAATTTACTTAAAATTTAGAGTAAAAGAAACAAATTCCTCTTCTCTCTTTCTCTGAAATTTCTATATTAACCCACATGATTACAATTAAAGACAAAAAATGAATTTAAATATAGGGATGCCCATATCTAATAATACAGTAATTCTCAGCAAATCCTGAGTTGTAGGATACAATTGTGTCTCTAATGACCTAATGGTCAAGGCTAAGGGGGATGGCTGTTCTTTGGAAATCTGGTAGCAATGGATCTTGCAATCTTTTGCTCTGGAAGCTTGTGAAAGTGAGCTCCTCTCCATTACAGGATGCACAAACCTCTGACACCTACAGGGCTCAAACTCAGCAAGTTAATTATGTGTGTTTTTTTGATTCTCTTGACTACTGCAACCTGAAAGAACTAAGTCAGGCTCACCCTTTGGATTGACCTTCAGTACTGTACAGTGTGATTTCTGAGCCTTTTGCCCAAGAAAATGCTATCCATATATTTGCTGATGCCTAAAAGTTATTTAAAAGGGAAGGAGTTCTTTTTTTCACTTTTCAAAATATCACACAGATGTCACTTAAAGTGGAAATGCCAGGCTGTGACCACATACTGATTGTAATTCAAACGCAGCAATTTAAATATTTTCCCATGAATTTAGTTACCATTATATTATTGTTCTCTGAGTACTTTGCTTTTATTGCTTTTGGCTTTCTACAACCAAAGAGTGTAAATGATCACTATCAGACCTTTCAAAGTTTGAGAAGATGAAGGGATTAGAACAGAATGCTAGAATGATATAGGAAGGGAAAGTCAAGCATGGCTAGTAGATGGCAGTAGATGATAAGTGAATGTGGAGATTAAGGGCAAATCCAAGAAATTTGTGCTTTTCTTCAAGATCATCATTAATGAATGATATATATTTGAGAAGAAACCAGAGAACTGACAGACATACAGTTATCAGGGTTGGTTGGATATATGTGTAATTTAGAAAAGATGCCAAAGATATATTACAAGACATGTGCCAGCTCAGTTTTAAGTAGACTTTTCTTATACTATCTCTCATAAGGGAATTTTATTATATTCTGAGATCATCTTTCAGTTTGAGAACAGAAACATCTTTCAGTTTAAGAACAGGTTGAGACAGACCCCTGAAATCTTGAGCAGAGGAATTCTCTTGGGGACTCCCACCTTTTCACAAGGGGAGACACCACTTGCAGGTCACCCACCTCTGACGCAGCCCACCCTCCTACTGCCACTCCATGACTCTTTTCAACCCCCCTTTCTTAGGATCAGTTATCATATGTTAAACCAGGTGGAAGGGATAGCTTTTACAAATCTGGAAAGGAAAAAAGTTAAATCCTCAAGGAAGTGAAAAATCAAAGTACACACTGGAGAAAACAAGTATATTTTGGGTACCTTGAGTATATTTGTATGTGTATCATAATAGTCTTTCTTTCCTATTTTCACTCATACTCTTTTGATCATGTATTCACTGACTAGCAAAACTAGCAAGGCAACTATTCCAAATCAAGTGTTGTTTAAAAAATTACAAAGATTAAGCTTAATTTTTTCCTAACAAGGGATGATTTTTCTGATGCATTGAAAATTAAAATCAGAAAATAAAAGCTTTTTAAAAAGATAATCAAATGCCAGGTTGATATATTTAGTTTAGCTGGTGGTTAAAGAGAGCTCTTCTTTTAAAAATTATGTGCAATAAAAGATTTAGAGTATTTCATTAACATATATCCTCATATTCTGCCAAATGAAGGCATAATAGAATCTCCCAATATACGTAAGAAATTTTCATATTTACAATACGGTTTATGATTTTTTTCAAGAAAGTGTAGTATTTTATAAAAAATAACTTTCCAATTTATTTCACTTTATAGCACCCTATAGTAGGAAGTAAAGAACAATTTAATTTCAAATTCAGAAACAACAACAACAACAAATACTCAACCATCACATGTAAAAGTCTCTTAATTATATTGTCAGGTAAAGAAATATGACAAAAAACATGAAAATTTTATTTTTGTTATGTTCCTTAGTGATAACTGGTATCATTAATCTCCATAGATGTTTGGAGTTATGCACAACTCCGTAGAAATACATCTTCCTAAGAGTTATTGAAAAATCTATGTAAGCATGTTCAATCACAAGATCTTATATTTCAGGAGTTGGATATGGTGAAGACATCTGCAATCTCCAACCTCTGGGAGGCTAAGGCAGGAGGATCTTAAGTTCTAGCCCAGCCTGTACAATTTAGCCACTTCGTGAGATCATATCCCAAAATTTTAAAAAAATGGGCTTGTAGGTAAAGAAGAAGTAAAAATAAGATTATGCACATGTAACAACTCCCACAAGGAATGTATTAATTTTGTATCTCAAATACGTAATAATAGCAAAAATGTGGTGAACTGGAGATGTAGCTCAGTGAGAAGGCTCTGGATTCAATCCCAATACTTCAAAAAAAAAAAGAACTTATATTTCAAATTTGCATATCAAATAACAATAAATAATTTAATATAGCATGGTGTAAAGTATAGAATATAACTTAGGTATATTCATTCATTTTAAATATGACACTATTTTACTTCTGCCAGTAGTCTTCTATCTTAAAACATTTATACTATTTGCATATGTATGACATTTATTTAAAAGACTTGAATTTATTACCAAAAAAGCATATTAATGCATTGACTTGCATAAAGCTCGCATACATTCATGACTCATGCTAGCAAATTTAAGAATTTCCAGTGTTAGAAATTCATTGACTACACTGATCTTAGAAATTCTAAAATCATCATCTTATTTTTATGAGTACGACTTAGACATTTTATTAGAAAAGTTTTCACCATGTTTACTCTTCACCTGGAAAATTTATTTACAATTTTCATCCAAATTCTCATTTTGTGAACAACAAAAATGTCAAAGCTTAAGAGATGAGCTACTGATTCTTTTTTAGTAGCATACATCAAACGCATTTTCATTTTTATAAGTACAAATTTCTTTTTTTTTTTTTTTTTTGTACCAGGATCGAACTCATGGTCTTGCAGTTGCAAGGAAGGTAGCGGCACCACTGATCTAAATTCCAGGCCCAAGAAAAATTTCTTAACAATATGCCTGTATAGGTGAAATTATACTTTTGATTTACACCAAAGCACTAGAAACAAATAATTTTATGTAAATGTATATTACATTTCAAATGAAAATAAAAACCTAGGAAAACAAAATGAATTATGTTGTAGATATTTATAATTGATAGGAAAAATTTCCCATGATTTAAAATGTAACTGAATATAGCGAAAGCAGCCTTAAAAATCTTATACTTATCTCTAAAATATGCATATTATAATTCTGATTTGCATACAACTGAATATTTTTACCAAAGCATATCTTGTCAATGGCTTTATGTCCAAATCTTTCATTCCCTTAACTAAAGGTCACTTACTCATATTTTAGTAATACATTATCCAAAAGTTATTATTTTAATGCTTATTGCATTGAATTCAAATTTTAAAATGCTTTTAAGTAATAATGATGACATTTATTATGAATTTGCACCCTTTTCACCAAATTTCAGAAATTGCATTTTAATGTATTAGTGGATACTATTATAAGTCAAATAGTTCCACATTGTTGATTTTAAAACCAATTCAAATATTATAACATGGCATTATAATAGCATTGCTAAAATCTTCATCCTGTCTCAATTGCAAACAACCATCTAAATTGCATCCAGCTTGGTCCCAAAGCACACACTGCAGAGAATAGAATACCAGCTACACATGCATTTAGCTCAGTGTATTGCAGTTACAATCTAGACTTATTAACTGTCAGAGTGTATTGAAGAAAAGTGTATTAACTGTAATTAAGGAATTACTCACCGAGCTGAGTTTCCTGAATTGTCAGTTTACTTTCCACAGGATACAAAAGCTTGGGTGGCTTATCAGTCAGAGGAGCTGAAAAACAACAATAATAACAGTACAGAGAGTTATAGTTATGTTGCATGAACTGAAAGAATACAATTTGTTTTCTCACACATTTTTCATTCTCAAAGTAGTGTCGAAGCACTATACCAAGTAATGAATTTCATATTGCAGGTAGTACCTTCAGGCAAGGTGAAAGCTATTAGATTATACAAGAGTGAAATATAACATGTCCAGATTGACAGTCACATGACAGTATTGAATTACAGAATCAGGTTTGGTCAGTCCTTAAGAGCATATGAATGTGTTTCGCAAAGCATTTCAATTTTGGCCTTGTTTTTCTCTTAATAGGACGCCCTACATTTTTTCTTGCGTTAAAGGTAAAGGTGATATATGAAGTATGCATTACAACACATAGAAATGTGTCATTCTTCTTAATACCATCCCTAGATTCCACATGTTGTGTCGCATTGCTTCACAACTCCCAATTTAGTAATTTCATTATTTCCTCATGTAAATTCTCTGAATGGGGTAGCAATGTGCGAATAAATTAGTATGAGCATATACATCCACACCAAGAAAGTATTTTAATGATATTTTCCATTTTGACTACTTTATTATTATTGTTACATGTTGTCGTATATATTGGATTATTTGCATGACATATTCTCTTTGATCTGAAGCTTCCACACGTTTTTGCTAGTGCTCTCATCAATTTCAATCATCAGCCTACAAATCCGTGTTCACTATTAAGCATTTTCAAGATAGGTTTGTCATTGCATAATTCATTCCTAACTAAACCAGATGATCTGAACTTTACACAAATAGTTCTTTATTAAGCTTTCCTCCCATCCCCTCTGACTCAATTGCCTAGGTCTCTTGAAACCTGTCACTGCAACTTCTACTCTCTATCATGTACAGAAATGATCGATTAAGGGTTGCTGAACTAAGTGGTTTTGCTTTCAGAGCTTTCTTTCTTCTTTGCCAGGAGGGCATGCCAATTTGGTTGATAACTGCAAGGCAGAACTAAGCAGAAGTGCCAAGAGCTGTCTACATGTACTTATCACCAGGGGATTCAAGAATTCAAACTGGCTCAGCAGCATCCATCTCTTTTTAACAAAAAACACAAGCAGAGCAAAGGATAGACACACCCCAAGTTAGAAAAGCTGGGATGTATTTAATGGTACTTCTTCATAATTAGTTGAATGTGTTATTTAGTCATCTTTATTACTATTTTTTTGTACCGGGGATTGAACTTGAGACCTTGTGCTTGCGAAGCAGTTGGCAAAACCACCGAGCTAAATCCCCAGCCCCAAGTATTTGACAAAAGCACAAGTAGAAAGAGAAGAAGAAATTTGGGGTAATAGGAAGAGAGCAACAGCTTTGAAATTCTCAAAGATATAGCATCAGTTTGATTAACTTTATTTTATGCCTAAACTATCTGATCTCAACAGATCTTATTCTCTTATCACCGAAATAATCAGTTTATTGATAAATGCTGGCAAATGGTTTACAATTGATAGGTCACAAAGTCACATTTCTTAGAGCCTGATTATTAAATTACTTTGGTGAGCTTCAAAGGCAACTATGATATCAAAATAGCTGTTTATTGTGTAAATTAAGACAGTTCATAAAATCTTGTGATTATGTAGTTACCAGCAGATAATTTGACAGTTTGTTTTAGAGAGAAGCTGAGAAAAATGTTGTAGTATTTATTGGCTTATTTGCATGATATATTCTCTTTGATCTGAAGCTTCCACACGTTTTTGCTAGTACTTATTCAAACACATCCCACACTATTCTATGGTAAGAAGGGAAAAGATCTGGAAAGATAGTAAAGTCCATATGTAGCAGATTTATTCAGAATAAAAATGATTTTGTGGTTCTCCACACAAACCTACCACCCACTCTATGGCACAATGTAATATTATTAAGAGCTTTCTTATTCATGATAATCTGAGTTAGCAAAGGAATTCTTCAAGTCTAAGTCATGAAATCACAGATTGTTGGAGCCAGAGAGAATTCTACGTATATTAAGGTTTTTATTGAGGGGTTTCTGGGGGGGGACTAAAATCAGCAGTTTTGCACAGTGCCCTTTAGGCACGTGAAAGGAAGGAGGTTAAGACTGCCCCCCCCCGGGATATCTCTGTGGTTTGTGATACCACTTCTCTTTGACAAAAGTAGCTCTGCTTTTATTTATTGTATCCAGTATTTCACTCAAGATTTTGAACAAGCAAATTTGAATTAAATTCATTTGATATATAGGAAACACTAAGTGTGCCAGGTTCTGTGTTAGGTGTTTGGAATATCTCTATGTTTTTGCCTTTATACTTTACAGTGATCTGTAGTTTAATAAAATAAAATTTCGGGGCCTATTCAACTTCTTTTTCTTTAGAAATCAGGAATGGAAGCTAGAAAGAGATCAAAGGTTTTTCCAAAGGTAACAAAGTGAGTTCAAGCTAAAGTCCTTGCTAGATCTTTTCCTCCCCATTCTTTCTTACATGCCCAGTGAAAATTCTGTGGAGCAATGACTGCATAAGCCTGTACAAAGTCTCCTCTCAAGGTTTTTACAATCTGTTAGAAAAGTGAAAACATGCAATTAAACCATCAGAACTTAGAGCAAGGACCTCTTGAAGTACAATCTGTCATCATCTATGAGTCTCATGTTTTGGCATTATGCTGTGATGGGTATCAGTTTGGTGCATTTCTTATATGATTCGCCTTTCTTGGATAAAAGTGAGTGGAAACTTTCAGATAACACAACAGCTGAACTGCTGTTTTGACACACTGGAAAAATAGCTGTGAAAAGGAAATGATCACTAAGGGTAAGACATAGCTCAGGTTCACAGTCATTTCAGGGTGACAAATTTTGCTGCTACCAGAAAGGACATGAACAGAATTATAGATTATTTGAATGTTTCTAACACTTCAAACTTATGATATTGAATAAATACCAGTTGAACTAAATTGACAGAAATAAAACTGGATAAACAAAAACAGGAATGACAATGACCGATGAAAATGAAAACACACACACACACACACACACAACTTTTCTGTATTTTCTCCAAGGGCAAAGGCGGAATTATAAAGAAATTGAAACAAATCATTTCTAATAGAAAGCAAAGTTATTAACATTAGACCATGACTAGTACATCTGACATTTCACTTCAAGAGACCAACTTGTCTTTCAGGGATGCTTCTTTCTCTCTCTAACATACATACATAAACACATAGGCATTAACTGAAATCACTGGATAACTAAAGAAAGTCTGACAGTAGTGACATGACATAAAGCACAGCGTGATTTTAAAACATGACACTTGTTCTACAAAATGTCCCATTTTTACCTCACGATCTATGCATTATATATCGCTTTGTATCCATTAACAAAAGCATTTCCCGGACGTCATTTTGGATTCTTCAGAAAATGCTATTAAGGCAGTTAAAATTGTGAAAATCATTCACAATAGTAGGCCTCTCTTACAGAGCTATTGATGTGTCTCAATGACAAAACTTTTCTGTACAACCTAAGGGGAATTTTAAGGACATTCATTTTGCTTGCTTGCTGCAGTTAGAGCAACCTCTAAAAGTCCGTGTACGTAAATATTGACGCCCTTATCTATGTTACTGTTATTCAACTATTCAAGAAGAGATGTGGTCTCTCCCTCTTTCCCATTTCTTGTACCCTTAACAGAATAGTAAAATAGAGTTTAGTATTCTTAAAACAAAAACCAGGGAAGATCAACCAGGATCCTTCAGTCTTCCTAATGTTCTCAAGGAGAGGAGAAATGTGAAGTATTTGGGATGAATATATACCTTCCCTGTTAAATCACGCTTCTAAATCTAATTTTAACCCCTTACAAACTAATCCCTCAAATACTATTGAGAATACCCAATATTTCTTGTATACCTATAGTTATTCCACTACAAAATTTGTTCTTTCAAAATCATAAATACTTTTTTGATGTATTTTGGCTCTCTACTTTCTCCACATTGTTTCTTAGAAGTATTACTGTAGAATAAGGAAGATCATACACATTGCTTTCAGGGAGACACAGATTGAATAATTCCTCACTCTGGTTTGTTGATTCATCAAGTTAGAAAAATTATTTAATATCTCTTAGTCTTCTTATGTGTAAAATGTGACATAGTTTTCCCACATGGGTTTGTCTGAAGCTTCAGTGAGTAGTAAATATCTTTTATAAATTATCATTAGTAATAGTAATTAAATATAAAATGATAAAAATAAATCTGTTCCCATGATACCTTTGGGTTTCATCAGTTTAGGACAATCACATTTAGGATTCTGTTTGTATAGCTAAAAAGGCAAAATATTGTTTGGGAAATAATGATATTTTACTAAGGGTTTAAAAGGGGACTCTGAATTGAAGAATCATTATTTTTTACATTAGTTTTGTTGTTGTTGTACCGGTGATTGAACTCAGGACCTTGTGCTTACAAGGCAGAAGCAGTACCACTGAGCTACATCACTGGCCCCAAATTAGTTTTTATAACATATGAATTGGTCTATCTTCAAGAATTAAATCACAACACAACTGGTTTTAAATAGTTTTATTTAAAATATTTCATTAGCATGTGTTTGACAAACATATTTTTACATAAAACATCTTGATCCCTTTTTCTTTCCCTTCACTCCCTCTTGAATAATTTTAAGTATTCCAGGCCTTGTATTGAGGTTGCAAAACAGTCAAACAAAACACAGCTTTTGAAAATTGTAATACCTCATGAAACTTAAAGTCTATAAAATTATTTATTATTATTATTATTATTTGTTGAGACAGGGTCTCACTATGTAGTTGAGAAGGATCTGGAACTCACTATGTAGCCCTGGCTGATCTCGAAGTCACAGCGATCCTCCTCCCTCAGCCTCCCAAGTGCTGGGATTACAGGCTTGCACAACCATGCCTGGATTAAAACCAATATAATTATAAATGTCTCCATAATTCAAATCCAGGAGCATTTGAGAGATGCAAATGAAAGCAGCACTGAGATTCCACCTCACCCTAGAA